GCTGTCGGGCAGGCTGTGGGCCTGGCCACACGGACAGACAGGCCTCGCGCCCTCCCTGCCCCGCCCTTCCTGCAGGAAAGGTGCCGATTCACCACAGCCGTCCTGCCCAGGGAGCGTCGGGACAAGCGGTGAGTCACCAGAGCTGCCAGCCCCCGCACGCACGCGGCACTCAGCTCGCACGCAGCACTCAGCTCGGCGTCCTGTTCCGTCCCAAGGGTGGATGGATGGATGCGAGGTTGGGAGGGGCGAGGCGGGGCGGGGCGCAGGGCCCGCCCGCCAGGGGCGCACTCACCCCGCCAGCCCTCAGGAGCTTGAAGCGGAACTCGGAGGTGGGGTTGTTGAAGGTGAGCTTCTCGCAGCGCAGGTGGTTCACGGGCGGGTTCCCCTCCAGGTTCAGGAACAGGTCGTAGCTGAAGCAGACCTTCCGCGGCTCCTCCTGCAACGAGGCGAGGCGAGCAGGGCCCCGCATCAGAGGGCGGGCAGGAGGGCACGCAAGCTCCCGCCGCCTGCCCCGGGGCTCCTTCCCTCCTGGGTGCCGCTCCCCATCTCTCAAAATCAATCACCTGGCGGCCTGCCAGGCCCCTGCCCACGGTGTACACCCGGCCCCTGATACACGTGGGCTCACCAAGGACCGCGGTTTTAGATGCTTACACGCACACGCGCCCAGACACTGGCTGCACCAGCCACACGCAGGCCACCCCCTCGGCCCTCAGCGCCATCCACGTGAGGAAACAGAGGCTCAAAGAAACGACAGCTGAGGAGTAGCCGTGCTGGGACGTGCCTCAGCCTCAGAAGCCCATGACCTTAATGCTCAACAGCCGAGTTCCACAGGAGCCCTGGACACGGATGGGAGACAGCACCAGAGCGCCCAGTGAGCTGTAGGTGCGCTGCACGAGGACAGATCGCTGTCCAGGTCCCAGGGAGGCTCCAGCTGTGCCAGGCAGCACCTGACACCCTCGCCACCCACAGAAGGCATGTGTGTCCTAGTCCTTGCTGCACGGTGCACAAGAGCTCCTAGCGTGGGTGGGAGGTCCACGATAGGTTTATGCAGGAAGCGAGTGAAGCCATCATGGAGCCGCTGTGGAAAGGGACGGAGTGAGGGGTGAGATGCCCACGAGCAGGCGCTGGGGGCTCAGGGAGGAGCTAACCAGGACAGAAAGGCACAGGGTATAAGCCTTGGGTGCCACAAATCCCAGATCTGCTCTTGGTACGGGAACGTTGGGCTGGTAACAAAAATGGAATCAAGAGGGAGGGGAACCAGTAGTTAGCGTAATGGCTATGTCGTTGGACTCCCATGTAGTCGACCGTGGTTTGTGTCCCGGACCCGGTGGCTTAGAACTCATGCCGGGCGCGTGTGCGTACATGCCCAAGATCCCGAGAGGAGAATGGAGGAGAAGGGATTGCGGCGTGACCATCCCCCCTGGGGGGTGATTTCTCGCTTTCTGTCTCTCTGTCTCTGTCTGTCTGGCGAGCGCACGCGCCCTACAGTGAAAATCTCTGAAAAAAAAAAAAAAAAAAAAGAGGGAGGAGGGGAGAAGTAAACGGAAACGCCTAAATGCACAGGGAAGAATTTAAGCTCATAAGCAGTGGGAACGGCTCATCTATGAGCAATCGTCTCTGACAAGGCCACCACAACCATCCTGGGGGGGCAGGACCACCTCGTCGGCAGATGGTGCTGGCCTAAACAGACACCTACGTGCGAAAACCAAAGTGGACCCTGACCTCACACCCATGCAGAGAGTAACTTGAAATGGACTGGAAACCTGACTGTAAGAGTTAAACGACAGAGACCAGCAGATGGCGTAATGGCTATGTCGCTGGACTCCCACGTAGTTGACCGCC